TTTTTTTCCCAAACATAATGAAAATGTATACCTTGCAAAAGCATTTGTTCAAACAATTTTATAAAGTATCCAGAAATGTCTCAGACCACACCACAGAGCATCAAATATGTATCTACATGTATACTTCAAACATTTCCAGTTAGTGGGCTCCGGACACCACGCTGCTCGGGGCTTCATGCTTGCATTTGTTCTGATCAGGGCTACGTCCCAGTATTGTAGTCAAGACAATCACAAGACCAGTCACAAGACCAGCCACAAGTAACAGGGTGAACAATGACCAAGGAATGCTTTTGTTGCAGTTCATTTGAATAGCTTGTGACTTGAATTCATACTGGAGGTCTTGTGTTGGTCTTACACATTGTACGTTGGTCTTGTGTGGTCTTGTCAAGGTCTTAAGTGGTCTCAACTACAACACTGCTATGTCCGCCCACTTTTCAAAATGGATTGACGCCTGTGGAATCTACATTTGAGAGTTGGGTATCTTTGGAAAAACTCCAGGTCTGAGAATATTTCATTTTGTAGACAGCCATGCTCCTTTGCCCTTACGTCTGCCTACTTCAATTTGGAATCCTGTTCCTCCTACAAACCTACAAATACATTTTAGAAAACAAAACAGATTGGCATCACAATGACTTGCAGGGGTCTGCAAACAAGAGATTTCTCAGCAAGTTTCTTTCCATCATTTTTTGGACTGTTATGGTAACTCTAGTACTTACTGCTGGTATCACTCTAGCCACCGAGTCCCACCTGTTTTGAGCTGTTACGATGTTTTCTGTTCGTTCAATAGCTGTGCCAGTTCTGGTACATACATAGACGTCTGCTGGCACCTAAGCATGTGGAAAATGACAACCGAAGGCATTCACCGACATGCTGCACTCAAGTCCAAAGACAACAACCCTTTCACAGGACTCCACCAAGTTTCAAGTTTAAGACTCACCCTTGTCCCCCAAAAATGAACTAAGTCCCTTGTCTGATTTCTTATTGTGCCTATCATACAATCTGTATAAAAAAAATCAAACTCAGACCGAGAACCTTGTTATAGAGGTGCAGTGGTCAAGGAACTTAGGTGGAGCGAAAATGGACGAACCAAAGGAGTCAGTAATATTTTGTAAATTGTTCAGTTTTTTCCTGTTTGTTCTGGGTGTGAGCATAAAAGTGGCAGTGTTCCGGCAATGTCGGGAAGAAAAATGGCTGTCTCCAGAACCGACCTCAGATTACTGTCAAGAATCAACATATCAGACAGTGAACACAGAAGAGGTTCCAACAACGCACCATGCCGGAGGGTTGATTCTGCGGTCGAAGTCCGACCGCAACCCAAGCGAGGTTCGGCGTGTGGGCAGCCCTCATGGCGAATCGTGTATTACCATCTGAAACATTCTCCCATGTTACGTAGGCTGTGCAGTCATCGCCGGTGCAGTCTGATGGCTTCTTGTAGCAGCCTTTGGTGGTACCACATCCTGTCAGCTAGAACAGAAGCAAAAATATCAATCGAGATTCCATCATCTGCACTAAATGTACATGTACACATCTAATCCATCATATGAATCCAAAACTCTTGCACCAGTACACGTGTCCATGTACCGTACGGTGTGGGACTGCATGGTTACCACATTTGACACCACATGTACATGAATGTATAAGAAGTAGCTAATTAAAAGAACACATAACCTATAAAAAAAAGAAGAAACAAAATTGACAGTATTTTTATCATTTAAATTGATGTGAATTCGGACATCCAAACACATGCATCAATGTATCATAATTTTGGAGGAAGCTTCTGCAAAGAACAGTGCTATTGGCATGATTGGGAAACAAAGGATCCAAAGTCAATTATACAAAATTCTGGCTTCCAGGCTCTCATCCCCTGCTGTCCTAGCTACGCATTATTCCCATCCAACTCCTCGGGCAAGTTGTCCTAGAAATATTCCCAACAGTACAGGTACTTACGTCTTGACCTAAGGTCAGCTGAAGACTTGCTGTTAGGATGAAAACGGTGATTCCATACCTGATATCCATTTTAGATCTGTCAAAGAAATATCCTTTCCTAAGAAAGGGGATCAGCGAAACAAAACGGAGAAAATATTAAGAGACATCAAGTGCTGAACACGCAGTTTGTTGATTGGCCCAGGTACATGTACAAATATTATGATAGAAAGCAACATTCTCAGTGGTCCATTGACTGTCACATACATGTACATATACCGGTACATGTACATGTATACATACAGTATACCAGCTGAATTTTTTTCCTGTTTCTACAGCATGTATTTGCATACTCAGTGTATGAATGGCAAAGAGTTCTGCCCCCCCCCAGATTAGAAAAACTTCACGTACCGTACCGATACACGTACATGTATAATCCTGCAAAACACATGATTCATGTACGGTACATGTACATGTACGTGTGTGCACTGGTGAATATCTGAAAAATAAATTCACAAGGACATCCTACTTCCTGGATAAGACAATCTGTCTACATGTAAGTCATTCCGGGAAATGTACTCCCTGTATAAAGTACATATATGTACATGTACGTACATGTAACTTACTGCAAGGGCTTGGCTCTTTGACGGTAATGCTTAGGGTTGCCAGCTGGATAACAGGCAATGCTTTGATCAAAGTTAAAGGCAGGTACCTAACTGCCCAAGCATTAACATGTACAGTGTAGCTGTCATCAGAAAGCTCGCAGGTCCTTCCAGGAAGCTTGCCAGAACTTGAGTGGCTCCCAGTATACTGTGAAACACGTTTATTTACCATATTTCACAAAGCCTAATTCATTTCATGAATAAATCACGAGGACTGATAACATTGACAAAGATTGTATTCACCTTTTATTAACTTGAGCCTGAACGTAAATGTCATATCATGTCAGCCTGGTACGGTCTGTCACTGTTGGTGTTTGCTTTTACCTCCCAGTGTCCTAATGACAGAGGTTGGGTCTGCATGACCCAGTTCCATTCTTTGATGGGCACGTTTTTCATTCAGTCACAATCTGAAACATACACACGTACATGTATACATACGCTTTGGAAAATCCAGTTTGGGACATGCTTTGTTCATTGCTGTTACCAGCCCTGGGCGCTGGTGCATACATGTACATTGTACACCCAGATCTTAGTTCTTGGAGGGGAGCGGGGTAGGACCTTCTGGGGCAAAATGGGTTCTTTTTCCAAAAACGACAATCCGATATTTTTTCCCCCATGAAAGAATCCCCATTACCCTCTCCTCCAAAGAAGGGTGGTAATGCCAGTTCCAAAATGCTGGCACTTTATATCCCTACAAATTTTTTTTAAAATAACAAACTTTCCACATGTCTCTCGGGGGACGGGTGGGAGGAGCAGTAACTTGCCTCCTCCACCAATTGGATGTGTTACTTTGTGTACATGTAGCTTAGTATAAGATAAAACTACAGTACAGTCCATTATACCGGGTCATTGTACCCAGAACATGAACATGTACTGGGTACCTGTGATGACTCCATTTCACTCACCACAGGCAGCAGTTTACATTTCACTCTCCCAGATGGGCAAAAATGATGAGACAGGTGCATGGAGTCAGGCTACCGGCACGTTGGTTTCAGATTGGATGAAAAACAGCCAACATGGCCAAGGGGAAACAGGCACAATCCTATCTGTCCAAAGGGGGCCGATGTGCCCATCAGACAGATAACCCAAACAAAAGACAGACAAAACTTTGAAATCATCCAATGTACTGGTACATGTACACGTATACGTACTTACATGTAAGATTACCAGTAGGCCTACTTGAGCATTAATCTGCCCAGAATACTTGCAAAGTATTTATACTGAAATTTGGCCACAAATTCCACCACTTGTATGGTAGAACGACAACTGTACACTCGACTGAGCCATTTGGTTCTAGATACATGGTACTGTACATATCACATGACTGCTGTATACCAATCAATACGTACTGTACATTAATACTCACACATCAGGGTTAGTCGATTTAAATCACTGATTCAATGATTTTTTAGTCATTGATTCAAATCAAGATTTTAAACATTTTGAAAATGGCATAAATCTGCCAAGTTTTTCTTTTATTTTCCACCTTATTTATTAGGTTGTCCACAATTTTTACACTTTACATACCAAGTATGGGTACACTTTTCCAAGTCCTTCAGTATTACTGACAAGAATTATGGAGGCACATGTGATTCAAATCAACTTTTTGGATTCAATCACAGGAATTACCGGTAAATTTTAATGGCCATGAGTGATCTAATTTCACTAAAGTGTCCAACTCAAGTTTAACATGGCAAGCACCAGCGTACAACTTGCCTTTATCAACTTTTTGTTCTCCATATTTTTATTTGCTTACTACGGAATAAATATGTGTATGTGGGCTGACTTGCTTCAAAATAAAAAAACACTTTAAATCTAAAAAATCTGTTTCTTTGAATTTAAAAAAATGCCAACTCCAACACATCAAATTAAATGCATAATCCATTAAATGTATAGTACTTTGATGTTTTAAAATGAATCGAGTCTCTTAATCCATGCTTAATCCAAACATCTGGTCGTGCTTTTTCCCCAAATTAGGCAAATATCCTACAGGCGCATGTGTATTTCCAGTAACGGGAGGAGTACTGAATGACAACACCCTCGCAGTTGCCAAAAGCATCACAGAGCAGGCATTTTCAGCCAGTCAACTGAAATTCAAGAATTGAAAGTCACCATAAAATAATAACCTTCCAAGAGTGACTGATGCTTCACACAAGATGAATAACTGATAAGACGGCCAAAGATCAAACAGAAACCACTTCAAGGTTGATCACAAACTGGTACTGAATACTTCCGATGTACAAATATACAGCTTTATAGAGCACACGTCCTAAAAACTTTGTAGTCAGGTTCAACAAACTATGTACATGCACATGTTAGAGCTGACCGCTTATTTTGTCAGATATATTTGACAATGAAAGAGTCTTCCCTTTCAATTAAAAAACAGGAATCTTGCAGGCAACAGAATTTCACTCAAAACACAAGAACATGTACCGGTACATGATTTAAATGCCAATGTTCCTTAACAAGAACTTTGTATGAGTACATGTACATTGTACCGGTACATGATTTAAACACCAATGTTCCTTAACAAGAACTTTGTATGAGTACATGTACCGGTACATGATTTAAACACCAATGTTCCTTGACAAGAACTTTGTATGAGTACATGTACCGGTGCACGATTTAAACACCAATGTTCCTTAACAAGAACTTTGTATGTACATACTAAGTACACTGTAGAGTTGGCAAAGTCATCCAAATGTTGGCTCTGCATGTATCGCACCACTGAGCATGCATGGCCCAAATATGAACACTGTGTGTACCTACATGTACATGTACCTGTGTGTATGTCACAGTACAACTTAGTATTAGGACACAATGTTATGCATGTGCCATTCATGTAAATCATAAATCACCCTGACAAGTCTCCTTTAAAATGCACTGACTATTCAACCAGACATTTACGCATAGGACTGTACCAAAGGTACATGTACATGTAAGCTAAAAATGCACTGCTCAATAGTTTTTCAAAAACCCAATACTGGTGAGTCAAGTGTGCCAACATGACGAGCGACTGAGCTTGTCTTGACCCTTACCCTCCTCAATCCTTCACCTGTTGGAGGACTGAGGAGTGTTAGGGTTAATTTATAGTCTCTTCCTCAACTACAGATGTACTCTCCCTGTGTAAATGAAACTTCACATGCCTTAGTTGCTGTACAAGTTTACTTACAAGTACAATAACTGCATGTAGGTATCCGAATAAAGTGAGACATCATGTCATGATGTCAAACAAAATGGCACTTGTCGACTTAAGCAGCATCTTTTAATAACACAACAATGCTGGTCACCATGTACATCTCCCCATTAGTTTTCTTGTTATGACATCAAACGTACATGTATATGTAAATATCTTGCTTATTTTGAGCCAAAAAATAACCGTAGTTCAAATACATGTCCGTAAGTAAGGTTGGAAGATACTTGCAATATTATGAGTGCTTGGTGAGGTCCTTCAAAGTGTCATTAATCAAACGGCAGGCATTATTACATGTATTAATCTAAAACAGCCTGGAACTTGGAAGCTGCTAGTTTCCTTAACCCCATGTTAAGGATACAACCATGTCAGCACTGAAAATTATGGGACAGAGACTAACAATAACCAAAGGAGTGTTATTGATGTGATTGCGGCAAAGGTGCAAGGAGGGGTCAGTAGATCTATATTAGGAGTTAATCTGTGGTGACACTTTGGGCAAATAAACTTTTTTGAGAGACTTTGGAAGTTCTTTCTCGGAATTACAGAAACACGAAAAAGTGACAAAGCGTCATGTGCTGCCAATGTACAATATGGACATATTCAAAGGAGGTACATGTACAAATAGACTAGTATGCAATATTGATCAGTAGCTGACTCATTTCCGTTCAATGCAGTGATGGTATTGGCATGGTTTTGTATTAAGTGCTACCACAATGCAAAGATGATATTGTGGCTTTGTGGCTTTCGAAGGTGACACAACTTGTTACCAATAGCAACTTGCTCCAAAACGAATCCTTCAATATTCCTTGCAATCTTGCGCCAGGCAAAGACTGGCACTATCACTTCAGAAAACCAGCAGAAATCTGACTGGCATCAAGTACTCGTACATGTACATGTACACCTATGGGCAGAAAGTATGATAACCATACAGTCAGTATAGATCTGCGCCGATGAGTAGGGAAGGACTAGGGATGACCCTGAAATTGCCTGATGTGGATTTTGAAACACATCTTCAGTTTGTTTATTGAGGCATTCATGTTTTGTTTCTCAGTGCTGGGGGGGGATATTTCACACATTTTGGTTGGTGTGAAAGTTCAAAATCGACCTTAATATCAACACTTTAGAGTAAAGAAAAGAAGACCTATGCATGTGCATGTATGTTCAATCAACTCAGCTTGCTGGAAATGAAGTGCAGCAAAATAACCCACTTTACTGTGAGCGATGACCGGTCAGTCAGTCAGTTGGCAAAACCCTTAATCATTGTGAGCCACTCCCAGGCTGTGTACACATAAATGTTTGCCAGGTAAAGAGATAACGGATACCTGGTAAATAAAGTCCATTCACAGTGTGTCCATGCCCAGTACCCTGGCCTGGCAGGATTGTTTGTGGCCTTGGCAGTGATTAATAATGAGAAAGGATCACACTGAAGTGCACAGTACATGTACATGTACATGTACATGTATGCAGCATATGTATGCATGTACATGTACACAATACATACATACCGGTAGAACCACGTTTAAATCAATACAGTGATTGCACTTCACGTTTTTTCAATGGTTCCTTGCCACATTAAAGGAACTATTACCAAGTACATGTACCAGCTGCAAGCGGTCTATACACTGTATATCAATGAGCAGTGAGTGCAGAATGGACAAGTTTCCTGACTTCTCCTGACATGCATATTGTACATGAACATTTTTCATTTTCTTGCAGTTTCTTTTTTTTCTTAATCTTGCCTGGTTAATCGGCTTAAGTACATGTAGGACTAAGATACATGCACATGTGCCCCATGCAAGACAGGATAAGATGATACTAGTAACATAAAAATATCGGTACATCATAATGTGATAATTTGACAATGAGAATCATAACATTATTACTGGTACTGTAAAGTCTCTTCCGTAAGTTGTTTGATCTCAAATGAAAAAAAAATGATCATCAGGTACTAAGAAATGAGTACAAAGAAAAAAATCAG